CCCCAAAACCCCAAAACCCCAAAACCCCAAAACCCCAAAACCCCTTAAATTTTACATAACATTGAGAGACTTAATAAATATTAAATAAAATGAGTGCTAATTATGAAGGTAATCTTGATCAAAAAGTGCCATGGCTAACTGTCATTGTATAAAATTATCTGCTAACACATGATTCTGCTACCAAATTCTGGTTGATGCTAAAATTTCTCAATTTTAATCTAATTTTCAGCCTCTCTAAGGTGGTCTTAAGTCATTATATAGGTAACAAAGAGCTATTAAATGACTCTGAGGATGAGGTATCTATCGCTACTAGTGAAGTTCTCTCTGAAGCTGACCAGGATTTACTTGGATCTCCTTCAAAGCCCCTAGAACAGAGCTCTAAAATATTACCACAGAGTATGGTAAAGAAGAGCTCAACTCTGAAAGTGAAAGAGAATCAGTCTGCTGCACAGTTACACCCAGGTAAGGCCTCTGAAGACCCTTCATAGATGTTGATGGAGGGTATCAAATATCTCCTCAACACAGTAAGACCGACTTCAAGCCTGATGATAAGGAGATGATCGGCATTTTACACGGAGAGATAGACTCCTTAAAATAATATGATGAACCAGAAGGACAACCTGCTTGAGAAAATGAACGATGTTTTTAAAGAGAAGGACTATATCATCAATGAGCTCAAAAGTCAGCTACACACCTCTTCCTTTGAGGCCAAAAATTTAACCAATAAGAAGGAATTTAGGTACATTAAGAAACGTTTTCAACCATCACCAGAAAGGAATGACTCTGAGACCCAAAGTGACAGAAGTCTTCATTCGTTAGCTTACCTGATCCAGAAGACTAAGAAAGAGAACTCCTTGCGAGTCAAGAAGGAGATTCCAAGCGATCAAGCTCTTTCTGATTCAAATACAGACACTCTATCTGGGTCTTCCACTACCTCTATTGTTGGTAAATGCTATGATAAGAGTTGGAAGCCTGGCTACAATTATGAGCCCGAATATAACTCTGATGGGTCAGATGCCTTCTCAAGAGAGGGGGATTTTAACAACCTGTAAGACTTCCTGATAACTTCTAGTACTCAGCATGAAGACATGACTCATAAAAGCAACCAGGGGGCCTCTAATGAGCAAAACTCAAGCTACCATTATAATACTAAAGGTATCATCTAATATAAGTTTTTAGAACCCACAGTTGATATTGGAAGTGTCAGTAAGACTCAATCCCAAGCAAAAAGGAGAAGTGGAAGTAAACCTGGACAATATGTACATAAGAGCGTGTCCCAAGATGAACAAGCTACTCGAAAGACCACTTTCTCGATTAAGGAATTAGAGAAGAAGAGAGAGTGGATAAAATAAGATGAAAAAATCCTTAAATGAGAGCAAGCAGCATAACCTGAACGGAATCTCCCCTAATGGCAGTCAAAAGGAACCCAAAGGTAAGTTTAAGCATGACTGTGTAGGACTAAGAGAGAAGAAGGAGTTTAAAACACAGAAAATTACAAACAACAATCAGAGTATGAATATAGAATTTAATCCTACAAATCCTCAGCTAATGCATAAAGGTCAAGCGTACTTCCAAAGACTTCAGAAGACAGCAGCTCCAAGTAAGGATGCTCGCAGGATCGGCTATGATTATTTAAACCTGAAGAAATTTAATGGTGATGGGAAGTACCCTCACAGCCGGGTTAGTAGAAGCACTGTTATAAACTCAAAGACTAAAGAAACAGCTGTGTCTAATCACTTAGAGTCTCTGAATAAAAATCATTATGACATCCCGGTGCAAGAGGAATATCACCAAAATGTAAAATTTGTTGCTAGTTCTCCAAAAAATCAGAACTGAGCCAAGAGAAGTGCAAGAGATCTCAGCACTGGTGTCCAGAGGTTCAGTAACGAGTACTCTCTCATAAACAGCAAGGAAGAAGTTTATACACAGAAAGGGTACTTTATATCTAACTTTCAGGCGCTCTTATCGGAGAAGCAAGTTGCCCCAGATCATCGCAATTGATCCCAAATAAATATAGGTCAAAACTGAGGAACATTGAGAGTAAAACTAATACCGGCTTAAACTTAACTAATAAAGAAAGTAATTCTCGATTTCTCAACTTTAGAGAAAGCAATTTTAAAGAAGAGAAAGCAGAAGATTTATGAGGATTGAGTTCCAAAAACCCTGGCTCCTTATAACTCGACTGAGAAGGACTTCCGGAATGGTGTTAACAACTTGAACTTGCTTGGAAATGGATCTTTCGTTGGTGATAATAAACAAACTTATTACTTACAAAGCAAGGAGATTGAACTCAATCTAGGAAAATTTTCACAGAAACTTAAGCATCGAGAGAAGAAATCTCTTGGTTATAATGATTTATCAGTAGATCATGCACTGAAGATGGGCCATCCGCCTAGCCAAGGAGCTGTTCCTGCTAACAGGAGCTTAGCTCTAAAGGATAGCTATGGAAGGATTAGCTCGAATGATGGGAAGATTTTCCCACCTCTGGCTAGATACCGACTGTAATCTTCCACTTAAGTGTAATCTATCTATTAGACAATTGACTGCTAGTGAGGCTGACCGATATGCCTTTTTCTCACCTTCAATTTTAGATGTCTCCGAAGGGGTTTTGGGGTTTTGGGGTTTTGGGGTTTTGGGG